AGTCAAGATCGCTCATGTCCAGAAGATGAAGGTAGCAGAGATAAGGATGTTGAGATGGATGTGTGGGCACACCAGGTTAGATAGAATCAGAAATGAGGTTATTCGCGACAAGGTGGGTGTAACCCCTATTGAGGACAAGATGCGGGAAGCGCGACTTAGGTGGTTTGGTCATGTGAGGAGGAGGAGCACAGACGCACCGGTGAGGAGGTGTGAGAGGTTGATATTGGAGGGCCTACGGAGAGGTAGAGGGAGGCCAAAGAAGAGGTGGGGAGAGGTAATTAAGCAAGACATGACACAACTTCAGCTGACCGAGGACATGACCCTTGATAGAAAGATATGGAGGTCGAGGATTAGGGTAGTAGAGTAGGTAGTCTAGAGTGTTCATAGCAATAGTATTGGCACGTAGTCTCGCTTTCTGTTGGTAGTAAGTTTTTATGACTAACCGTTGTTTTCTTTCATTGTTGATCACCTTACTGTCTTGTTGTTTTTATTCTGCTTTTATATGACTTTTTGGTACTGTCCCTTCTTGTCTATATTTTCATTAATGTGGTGCTTATGCTTTCCTGAGCCGAGGGTCTATTGGAAACAATCTCTCTATCCTCACAAGGTAGGGGTAAGTTCAGCGTATACACTACCCTCCCCAGACCCCCCAGTGTGGGATATTACTGGGTATGTTGTTGTTGTTGTTGTTGTTGTAGGCCATTTGAGATCCATGATCAGTTCTTTTTTATCTTGAAGGGGGAGATGATGATCGATGGTGTTGGAACTTTGGGAGGCACGCACTCTCAAACAATCAAATTATACAAGTGCAAAAACGTATTCCATTACTTCACTCGACTTGACTTAAATAAAATGACAAAAATACATAGGTATTTATAGGTGTTCTTCAACATGAACCTCGTCTAATACATGTATCATATTTCATTCTTTTACTCCCATTTCCCCAAATTTAGGCATCTAGTAATTCATGTATTACACAATTCCAAGTATCTAATTTAAAAACTCAAAGCTAATAGGTCTTCTCATCTATCAACGCAACGTTCAATTTTAAATACTCCTCCTTGAACCTTGTAGCTGATATCCCCAAAACATTCTTCAACGTCCCAAGTTTCTCTTCCTCAACTCTTCTTATTGGCTGTTCTCTTTTTCTTTAGAAGACTCCTCCTCTTCCTCAGCACATGTTCCTCCTTAGAAGTACCCTAATTTGGACCGAGTTTGTCTTTCTTTACTATTTGTCACTAGAATTTTCCTCTTCACTAATACTCTCCTTTTTTCGAGCTTTTGCGACAACTGGAGTCTGGAGCGAACTATCTTCTTGACACGCATGCAAATTTTGGTTCTAGAGCAGCAGGAGATGGTATTTAGAATGGTCCACTTTATTGGGAACCTCCTCAGATCTTCGTCAAGGATATTATTGCGACACTAAACCTTACGTATACAGTAGCAGCCATTCCCTTGTCTGCGTATAAATCACTTTCTTTAGAGCTATCACTTATCCTCTTTCATACTGGACTCATCACTTGATTCATCCTATTTCTTGACTACAGTTAAATCTATGTACACAATGATGGATAATGCTTTCTTTTTCAGATCTTCAAGAAGTTCTAATTCTTACAGATCTCTCAAGGAAATTCTTTAGATTCCAAATGTTGGGGATTCGGAAAAGATGAGCATTCTCAACCAATCAAATATCTTGAAAACAAGTGAAGCGAACACTCAAGAAAATTTGTTCGACTACCAAATGTTGGAAATTCCAATACCAAATGTTAGGTCTAATGTTAGCTATGATTTGATTAATCTTGTAAGGGATTTATATGCAAGTTGAAAATGTATCGAGTTTCTAGTGCTTTTTTTTTAAAAGGTAAAAATTTTATTAATAAGGTACCAAGACTCTCTATCCTCACAAGGTAGGGGTAAGGTCTGCGTACACACTACCCTCCACAGACCTCACGGTGTGAGATAATACTGGGTATATTGTTGTTGTTGTAGTAATAAGGTACCAAGATGGTACAATAAAGTTACAGAAAAACATCCCAAATTACAACATCAGCAAACTATTCTCCCCCCTCCTAACACCTCTAGAAAGTCTATAAATTGAATCGGATTTCCTCACTGACTACATTTACACCAAAAGTACAGATTACGAAGACATATATTCTTAATACTAATAATGTTATTTCTGAGTCCTTCAAATCGAGCCTTGTTTCTTTCCAGCCATAAGGTCCATAGTTTCTAGAGCTAAAGAACCTAAACTTTTTAATATTTGATTGAGACAGGTTTAAATAGAGCAACATTGAGAATTCATATAGCCAACCCTCAACTAGCTTGAGACTGAGGCGTAGTTATAGTTGTTGTTGCTTTATTGTATGACCAGCTCTGTACATTTGGCTGTATTTTTTAGCAAAAGTCATATAACCAAGAATCCAATCATTTGACACAAAGTATCATGAAAATTCTGCTGTGAACGAGACACTCAGATGAAAAGGCAAACAAATCAGTAAAGACAAACAGCTCACCTTCAGATAGCACTCGCAGGGAGGCACCAGATCTTTCCTGGATTGATTTGATTGTAGAACCTTGCTTCCCAATCAAGTGAATGGCTTGCGATGACGCCACCAGTAACCTTAAAGAACAAAATGCTGCACCAGCAGCTACTGCTCCTGGATCGCCATCGCTTAGTCCAGCAACACGCTTGAATACTCTTAGAGCGGCATCCATTGCAGGTGATACTTGTGTGACTGGATCTTCTCTTCCAGATATTAGGACCTAAAAATCATATGCAGGAAGTCAGCAAGGAGTGATACAGCTTACCTTGAATATATAAAGTTAAATCATGCTACATTAGATACCTTCTAGACATGATTTGTTTTTGTTATTTAAAAAATAAGCCGTGTTATACCAAAATCGTATAATACAATACAGTGTTAATTGTTTCAACACACGTAGACATTATTCATAAAAAAACCTTTATCGTCCCAATTTACATGGATCTCTATCTATTTTGAGATGATAATGCTTTATATAACTCCACTAATAAAGATTTCACATGGATCTCTTTCTATTACATGGGTCTATTTTATACAGATTTCACAACTTTCAAATTTCAAACTAAATGAGCTATTCAGATTTTAGATTTTGATGTGATACTTTATTTGTAATTATTGCGACAATAATATAATAGATAAGTCAAATTAACATATGGATTACACTCAACAATGTCGACATGCTACTAAGTTGGAGATTCGGGAGAAAGAGACGAACAAGTGAAGTTTCCGAAGTGTCTCCTTCGGCAATCAAGTGGAGCATATGGGAAGATAGAAAAGGTAGAGGTTTGAGGGGGTAGAAAGTACCATTCCGGAGAGTACTGAAATTTTATAATATATATGAACCATGTTTGCATGCATACATACATATACATACACACATACATATATAACACCATGTCTGCATACAACAACAACAACGACGACGACCCAGTGGAATCCCACAAGTGGGGTGTGGGGAGGGTAGTGTGTATGCAAGGGAGGCTGTTTCCGATAGACCGTCGGCTCACGACGATGGTAAAGGATAGTGGAGCAGTAACATCAAAGGAAGTTAGAAATATAACACCAACAACGTGATAACCAGAAAGCAGAAAGAAAAGCAATAACAATAAGCAGTAACAATGCACAATACTACAGACACAATGGAAGTAATAAGGACACAACAAGAGCCACTAGCTTCCTAAGACAAAACAATATCAAACTAGCCTCTTACAACCTAACCTGCAACCCTAATGAAGTAATATGGACACAGCAGGAGCTACTAGCAGCCTAAGACACAACCTCCTACCTCCTAACCTACAACCTTAATGCTCGACCTCCACAGCTTCCTATCTAGGGTCATGTCCTTGGAAATCTGAAGTCGTACCATGTCCTGCCAGATCACATCCCCTAATACTTCTTAGGCCACCCTCTACCTCTACTCTTACCCGTCAAGGCCAGCCGTTCACACCTCCTTACCGGGACATCCATGCTTCTCCTCCGCACGTGCCCGAACCATCTAAGCCTAACTTCCCGCATCTTGTCTTCCATGGAAGCCATGCCCACCTTCACCCGGATATCTTCATTCCTAATCCTATCCATCCTAGTGTGCCCGCACATCCATCTCAACATCCTCATTTCTGCCACTTTCATCTTCTGGATATGAGAATTCTTGACTGGCCAACACTCTGACCATACAACATGGCCGGTCTAACCACCGCTCTGTATAACTTACCTTTAAGTTTCGGAGGCACCTTCCTGTCACACAAGACGCCAGATGCTAGCCTCCATTTTATCCACCCCATCCCTATACGACGCGAGACAGCCTCATCAATCTCCCCATCCCCTTGGATAACCGACCCCAGATACTTGAAGCTCCCTTTCTTGGGGATGACTTGAGAGGCATGCCTCACATCCATGTCTACTTCTCCCGATACGCCGCTGAACTTGCAATCCACGTATTGTCTTAGTCCTGCTCAACTTGAAACCTTTAGACTCGAGGGTTTGTCTCCAAACCTCCAACCTTTCATTAAAATCTCCTCGCGTCTCATCGATCAGAACTATGTCATCAGTGAATAACATATACCATGACACCTCCCATTGAATATGGTGTGTCAGTGCGTCCATCGCCAGAGCAAATAAGAACAGGCTAAGCGCGGATCCTTGGCGTAACCCCATAACAACCGGAAAATGCTTTGAGTCACCCCTCACAGTCCTAACACGAGTCTTAGCTCCATCATACATGTCCTTAATCACCCTAATAAGCTACCGGAACACCTTTCACCTCCAGACATCTCCACAGAACTTCCCTAGGTACTTTGTCATATGCTTTTTCTAGGTCAATAAACACCATGTGCAGATCATTTTTCCTGTACCTATACAGTTCAACCAACCTCCTAATAAGATGGATAGTTTCTGTAGTAGAACAACCAGGCATATATATATATATATATATATATATGTGTGTGTGTGTACGCAGACCTTACCCCTATCCCGGAGGAGTAGAGAGGCTGTTTCCGAAAGACCCTCGGCTCAAGAAGAAAATTATATATATATATATATATATATATATATATATATATATATATAATTGGCATGCCACTTGTCAGAACAAAATGGAGTCTTGCCCCTTTACATCAGTATAATTTCATTATTTTATCAAAAACTCCAAACAATATGCAAAACAAACATACAAAAAAATTTCTAAAATATTATACCTTCTACATCTCAAGTAGATTCATTATAAAACATGATTATACAAAACCTCAAGGAACAATCAGTGAAGAAGTCATGATTATCACGACTGCTTAAATCCATATGATTCATCTCCAAATAACAACAATGTCTAACAAACATAAGTTCAAACCAATATTTCAGGAAGCTCCATTGACTATAAAATTTAGCTTTTTTGCTTTCCTGCTCTCACCTCTTAGGAATTAGCTATCAAGCTTGCAACAACTTGCATAACAACAATTACGCTTCAATCCCAAACAAGTTCGCGATCATTCTTTCCTTAAGCTCAACTCAATATCATCGTCATAACCACAATAAAATAAAAGTGAAAGTGAAAAAAAAAAGTTATATATATATAGGTATTTATGCTTTCCTGAGCTGAGGGTCTATTGGAAACAACCTCTCTATCCTCACAAGGTAGGGGTAAAGCTTGCATACACACTACCCTCCCCATACCCCACGGTGTGGGATAATACTGGGTATGCTGTTGTTGTGTATATATATATATTTACACACACACAAATACATAAATACATAATAGTAATAATAATAATAATAATAATAATAATAATAATAATAATAATAGAATTCTCTAACAAGTCTAAGACCTATTCCCAACTAGTAGGTATCGCCAATATGGATCTTTTTCTTCCATTGTGTCCTATCTTGAGCTAAGTCTTTATTGATTCCAAGGATTTGTAGGTCTTTTGAAACTTCTTTCCATTATTCATATATTCAAAGACAAACCTCCTCTGCTCTACGTGACTATATATTCTTCTCATAATCTTAGTTTAATTAGTAAAGAGAAACCTCCTACCTAAACAGTAAATAAGAACAGAGAACACAAAGCTTCCAAGAAACTACATAATGAAAGTTACTATAAAAATGGATCTGTTTTCTCTGTAGATTGATTAAGTAATCCGGTCAAAACAACGCATTTTCAGAAATGTACCCTTGATGTCCCAGTAACAGATGTCTGCATACCCAAAAAGAAAACCTAAAAGAGACTGTCATTGTTAGTGGCAAACCCAGGAATTTATGCAAGGGGATTCAAAAAAAGTAGAGTGTCACACTTAGGGTTTGAACTTGTGACCTAAAACAATATTTGAACCCCTTTACCACTACACTAGGATCGTCCATTATGTCAAGGGGATTCAACAGCTTATATATAACTAAGAGAACTGATTTTTTCCCTATTTGTGCGGTATAATCATTTGACGAAGGGGATTAAATTGAACCCCCTTGGACATAGCTCCGTCGCTGGCCATTGTACTAGTCCATTACTCTGCATGTGTCAGTGCAAATCCACCTGTTTTACTCCATTGGCATATTCATTAGAGGGAATACTTTAGATTTTGGCTATACCATCAAAACCACAGTTTGGGGACAATTGTCTGCAAACAGTTCTACTTTTATGAACTTCTTATGTTGTCGTTTTCCCAGAAACTGTATCATCTTAACAACCACCCATCTCACACTTTAACTGGAAACTATTAATATATGCACTGAAAATTGGAACTTTTTACCAATTAGAAACATTTAAATTCAAATAAAACTCGCAGAGTAACAAAAAAAACCTAAGAGAAATAGAAACTAAACGAGGTATGTATAATAATGATTGTAGTCATGACATACTATGCGATCGGCATTGCCGAGAGGGCCTTCGAGGACGCGAATACGAGCGCGAGTCTCTTCACACATCTTCTTCACAAGCTCACCTTTACGTCCAATTATACTACCGACTTTCAGAACTGGCACTACTAGCCGAAACACGTTGTCTCCAGGCCAGCCCGGCCATTTCAGCACAACCGCCGCCACCGCGTCTCCGCCGTTGTTGTTGTTGTTGCTGCTATTATTACCACTTCCTGCTACCGTTGTATCCTCGGATTTTACAGCGACCAATTCCGTCTGCGGGGGCTGTTGATTTGACGGATGAAATGACTCGGTATTACCCTCAGACTTTAAAGCGACTAATTCCGGCGGCGGCGGAGCCGCAGACGGCGGCTCTTGATTTGACAGAGGAAATGACTCCGTTTGTGAGTCAGTTACTTCATAAGAAACCATTTGATGAATGTGATGAACTGGGTTTTGTAGGGGTTTGGGGGTAAGGAAGAAGAAAAGTGCGAGAGTTTAGAGCGAAAAAGAGAGTTTGCGACTGTGTTTCTTTCTTCTTTCGATTCGAGGGTTTGGTTTTAAGCGAAAAGAGTAACTGGAACTGAATCAGGCTTTAGGTTCCTTGTGGCTACGTTTTTAGACATTGTATTAATGTATTTTCGGTACTCAATTTCTTAATGTTACCAATATCATACCTATTAAATTTGGTATGGTTTGTTTTTCTACTTTTGGTTTCAAATTATTTGGCTCAATAACTTGGATTTGTTCCGTTTATTTTGCTTGGATAGAGAATTATAACTTTTCTTTTTATCTTTAAAAATAAAAAATTGAACAATGCACTAAATAAAAAAATAAAAAATTCTAGAAAGTGAGTTGAGAAGAATTATCATAAAGACCTCCAAAAAACTTGAATTGGCCATATGACCTCCAACTTTTTTTTCTAAATTTCTTTTGATTTGGAAAGTGGCTAAATCAATGGCTTAAGGTGGTTGGGGTCTTTCTAACATTTTCAAAACTTGTAGGTCACCTATTAAACTTTAAATGTGTTGTGGTTCTTCATATTTGTTTTGTTTACTGAAATCCCTGTTTTTGAAATGGTTTTTAGCCATGTTGCTTAAAAATTCTCGAAGGTGATCTTTATTGAATAGTCGGGCTACCTCCTCTCTTAGTTGCCTGCAATCTTCCGTTTTGTGGCCATGGGTGCCATGATATTCGCACATTTGATTGGGGTTTCTCTCGGCAGAATCGGTCTGCATGGGTCAAGGCCATTTAGTGTCTTTGATGCGTCCGATAGCCGACATGATGGCGGATGCATCGATGCTGAAGTTATACTCCGATAACCTTGGTGCTTCTTTAGGTCTGGTAAGCCTGTCGAACCTATCTCTCTTCATCATCCCCCGAGACCCTTGACCTCGATCACTCCTTTTATTGCCTTATCCGGGGTTACGTCTCGATTCATTGGTCCTGTGGTTTCCACTATATATGGTCAGTATCGGTCCCTGATTAGACCTTGTTCCTGATTGATGTCCCTTCTAGCAGCGGGTTCAGAACCCAACTGATCATTTTCGACTCTAATTTTTGACTGGTACCGATTATGCACATTAGCCCGAGTAATAGCTGGATACTCGATTAGGTTATGCTTCAACCGCCGTGAAGCCGTCGAACTTCGTTCGTTTAAAGCTTGAGTGAAATCTTGAACATCCCAATCGTCTGTGACTGGTGGCAGATCCATTCGATCCATTTAAAAATGAGATACGAACTCCCTTAGCATCTCGTTATCCTTTTCTCTTACCTTGAACATGTCCGATTTTCTGGTCTTGACCTTTATGGCCCCGGCGTGCGCTTTTATGAAGGAATCCGAAAGCATAGCAAAAGAATCGATAGAATTAGATGGTAAATTATGATACCATAGCATTGCTCCCTTTAACAGGGTTTCCCCGAATTTCTTCAATAATACGTATTCGATTTCATCGTCCTCTAGGCCGTTTCCTTTAATGGCATATGTGTAAGAGGTGACATACTCATTGGGGTCGGTAGTTCCGTTATACTTAGGAATCTCGGGCATGCGGAATTTCTTTGGGATCGGTTTGGGAGTCGCGCTTGGGGGGAAAGGCTTTTGTACGAATTTTTTGGAATCTAAGCTCTTCAATATCGGTGGTGTCCCCGGGATCTGATCAACCCTGGATTTATATGTTTTTACCTTTTTGTCGTTTGCTTCGATCCTCCTTTCTCCTGATTCTATTCGTTCGGTCAGTTCTTCAAACATTTTAACAATTTCGGGATTAGTTCCCGACTCTTGCTCATTTGACCTTACTATAGCTGGTTCCGTTCTGTGGTCGATTTCTCGGGGTGGACTGGGCTCCGGCCTGCTCGACAACTGGGTTTGACTCTATAATTGAGCTATTGCTGCTTGTTGAGCTTGCAACAATTCGAAAATCATACGCAAGCTGATGCCGTTCTCTTTGGCGTTACATGTATCTTGAGCTGCAGATTAAGTGCCACCATGGATGCTATTTTCAGGTTCAAAATACAGGTTTGCCTCAATGGCCACATGCGAATTAATATCTAATGACACTTTGACTTGAGCTCCAACGGCGTCGACAAGCGGCATTCCAGCCCTGGGCGTCAAGTTGTTGTTTTCACCTTGAAGGCCAGCTTCATTGTTGATAGGCAAGGCCATTTAATTTGAGAGCTCGTCGTTGCTAATTCGAAATAAAAGGCACTTCCGAAAATAAGTGTAAAACTGGTGTTTTTGCAAATTCATATCAAATAATCACTATTATCCTTTGCCCCGCGGTGGGCGCCAAACTATTTACCCGAAAAACGGATAGAGTTGAATTTGTATGTAGTTCTAAGGATATGTGATATAACTTGACACAAATCGTAAAGATAAATAGAAATATCAAATATTGACTGTAAAGAGTAAAAAATAAGCAAAGCTAAAAGGAGGAGGATTTAAGGATTGAGCAAGATGAGTCAATCTATGAAGCTAAAAGAGGATAATTCTTCAATATAGGAGTGTATGGTATCTGAGTTACAGTGTATGAAAAACTTGATCCCTTACAGAAATAATAACCAACCCCTTTTATAGCGGAGGGATCCTACTTTTGATACAATTAAAAATACATAGTGGGAGACCCATGATAAATTAGCTTTTCCATAATTCCTGCCAAGATTCTCTCTCCTAGTGCGGTTGCAACGACTCTTGTCTTTGAGCTCGATATTGTATCGAGCTCGATATCGACCTGAGCTCTCGATCTTAAATCGAGCTTGATTCTGATTCGGAGCCTTGTATTGATTCGGGGACAGTGTTGGTCGGTCTCTGCCTCGCAAGATCGGTAACTTCATCATAGTTCGATTTGGATTCGAGCTCGATAATGATATCGAGCTCGACATTGATCGGGCCCTAGGGCTCGAAGCTTGATGGCCTGATTTCGGATCTCAACATGATTTTCGATCCAATGTATTACCATTTTGACCAGTTCGTACGAAGGACTAACCGGTTTTTACCGTATACAAATATATTTTACAATTAACTTTTACCAATTTCATTTTTCTTTTAATTGTTTGACCTTTTTAATTAACTAAAAATCATATTATTTCCTTATAGGATAATACTAGGAATGCAATAACTTTTTAATTGATAAAAATTATATAATTTTTTATGGACATATAGTAAAAGTATTAAATTTCTTTTCATAGTTTCTAAACTTTTATTTCAATTTAAGCTCGCCTTAAAAACGAAAACTATTTCAACATACACAATTTTTTCTTTTCCTAAATTTTACATTAACTTTTATAAGATGGACACTTACATATTATTTCTTTGGATATATTCTACCTATTTATTATCACGGGAGTTATACGTGCATTGCACGTAAAATAAAGACTAATAGTCTGTTTGACCAACCTTCTTCAAGGTCAAAAATACTTTTTTTTCCTTTTCAAACGAGAGGAGTTTGTCCAAGTTTTTAGAAGAAAAAAAAAGAATTTTGAGTAGAAGCAGAAGCAGTTTTTGAGGAGCAGAAAAAAAAAATTCTCACCAAAAATACTTTTTTGAAAAGCACTTTTTTTGAAAAGCACTTTTGAAAAAAAAAACACTTCTCATAATAAGCTGATTTTAGAAAGTTTGGCCAAACAACGTATAAATATATTAAAAGTATTAGATGTGTCCAATGATGAACTCAAAGTTGGATTAGCTCCTACTAATTGGGTGGATATTCATGCAACTCACGAATAGATATAAGAGCTTTAAATTATCATTTGGAAAAAAAATTAAGAATCATAATAAAAGAATAGCTAATCTTGTTTGTGTCTTCTCAAATGAAACTTGAGAATAGCTTTTTGCAATTTGTTTTTAATAAAAACTCTTAAATGTTTAAGTATTAATTGTTCTTGCTGAAAAAATAAAGGAAGCATGATAACTTGTGAAATTAAATTGATAATATTTCAATAACAAAAATATGTTTAAGGTGAATATATCGAATGATGATTGAAAATTTAACGACCCGGCCGGTTGTTTTGAGTGTATTAACCCCGACCCCCCTATTTATTGCCTTCTTTGTGTGTTACGGTGGTTACGTGACTTGCCGGGATAATTGGTTTTTGGTTTTGGAGTGTAATAAGACACATAGTCCCTATAAATGGAAGTTTAAGTCGTAGGAGTTGACCGTAGTTCGAATTTTGTGAAGACGACTCTGGAATGGAGTTTTGATAGTTTCAATAGCTCCGTATGGTGATTTTAGTCGTAGGAGCGTGTCCGAATGTTAATTTGGAGGTCCGTAGGTCACTTCGCTATTAATTGGCGAAAGTTGGATGATTTTTGGAAAGTTTGACCGGTAGTGGACTTTTTGATATATGGGCTGGATTCCTATTTCAGAAGTTGGAGTAGGTCTGTAATGTCAATTGTGACTTGTGTGTAAAATTTGAGGTCAAACACACTTGATTTGGTAGGTTTCGGTATCAGATATAGAAGTTTGAAGTTCTAAAGTTAATTAGGCTTGAATCGATGTGCAATTCGTGTTTTTAGCATTGTTTGATGTGATTTGAAGGCTCGACTAAATTCGTATGATGTTTTATGACTTCTTGGTATATTCGGACAGGGTCTCGGGGGGCCCGGGTGTGATTCGGATTGAATCCGGAACAAATTTTGGATTTGTGCAAGTGCTAAAGCTCCCAGCTTCTGGTGTCATCGCACCTGCGGTGGGGTTGGCCGTAGGTGCGGACTCGCAAAAGCGAGCATTTGGTCGCAGGAGCGAAGCTGGCTTGGCCCAGTTGGGATCGCAGGTGCGAGCTGAGAGCCGCATCTGCGTGTCCGCAGATGCGGAGGTGCGATCGCAAAAGCGGATGAGGCTGGCCTGGGCTATGGTCGCAAAAGCGGAAGGTTCTCCGCAGAAGCGGGCTCGCAGGTGTGAGCCCTGGTCCGCAGAAGCGGAAATCCTGGCCATAAGTGAAATCCGCACCTGCGATGGTTTTTCCGCAAGTGCGGCATCGCAAGTGCGACTGAGAGCCCGCAGATGCGAAATCACTGGGCAGAAAAGGGCTAAGTTTGAGGGTTTTATTTCATTATCCATTTTTTACCTAGATAGCTCGGTTTTGTGCTGATTGTTCGAGGGTTTTGCAAGGAAATCATTTGGGTAAGGTTTCTTAACTCATTTTTGATTAATTC